ATTTTCTCTCAATTAGTTTAAAGGGAAAAATTAATTAAAAATAATATATAGAATTAAAAAAATAAAACGTGAGCAGAAAAAAAATATAATAATAAAAGAAAAATAGTGTAGAATAGAGAAAAAATAAGAAAAAAAAACGAAAAGAAGAGGAACGGATTGTAAAGAAAAAAGAGTAAAAATAAAAAAAAATAAAAAAAAATAAACATCTATTATTAAAAAGGAAGAAACAAAAGATGAAATTGAATAAAAAGTAATAATAAGTAAAAATTAAAGAATAAGGTAAAATAAAAAAGGGAAAAGAAAACTTAACCAAAAATTATTAAAAATGAAAAAAAAGAAGAGAAACATTTTGTTAGACAAAATAAAATAAAAGTAAGAAGAAGAAATAACAGAATGTTAAAAAAAAATAAAAAATAAAAAATAGAAAAAGAAAGTAAAAACTACAAAAAAATATAACGGGCAAAAAAAAAAATAGAAGAAAAATAAGAAAAAAATTCCAAGAAATTGGTCTTAACCTCTTTAACATTTTATTTTTCTAAAATTAATCCTAAATCCCGTAGAAGTTTACCTCCTATTATAATTCAAATATCGACTCCCACTAAAACGACAATACTAAAATTCTCCGGACTCTAAAAAATCTAAACAAGACAGTTACAATAAATCAAAGAAGGTGGACTTAAGTAAATGTATAGCTAATAAGTATACTATATCCAAAAACTAAGTCAAGCCAAGATATAAGTCAATGAAGCAACTGTGCTAGAAACACGGGACTCGAGGGGTGCCTTACACCTTCCCCTTGGTCAATAGAATTTCTTATCCAGACTTCTAGTTCGCAGACCATTAAAAATTAGAGTCAACTTCCTTTTGATTAGGGGTAAAAATTAGGTGACTTGGAACACCAAAACTCAATTCCAAGTGGCGACTCTGAAATAAAATAATCCCTTTCCAAAATGTCACTTTAATTGGAGAAACTCTATATTTCCAAACATTTCGTTTGGGGAAAAATAGGGGTGTGACAGATTGTACCCACCAAGAATGCCTTTAGTTGTTGGAGGATCAATCATTATGTGAAGGCATGAGGTTGCTACTAATGAACCCTAAGAAAAACCGAGCCACTAGATTGATGTCTTTATTTTCAATCTTCACCCCGCCAACCAAGCACGAGGGAGTAATATCTTAAATCAAGGGTGCCAACCACCCCTTCAACTCATCAATTTTATGCTTCATAAGAAGATTGTACATATCCTCTTTGTTACTAGCCATTCCCAGAAAGTCATTTATCGCTGCCCAACCGCATTGTACCATTTTACCCCGGACTTCGACTTCCTCCAAAGGCTTCCAAACCACCCTTTTTCTCTTCATAGGCAGTGCCTTGGCCTAGGCATCGTAGAATTCCCAAACACACGCTGGGATATATAGT